GTTTTTGGAGTCTCTACTGTGCAGCAGCTCTCGACTATGCATGACCAACTGGAAAAATATCAGACACGACCACAGTCTCGCCAGCCCTCGTCGGTCGGGAGTGGGAGGGATCGGATATCAGGCCGGTGGTCTACAGGAAGGTGAGCTTGAACTGCGACGGAGAGAAGTAGCTCAGTGGCCTCCAGGAAAGGGAGCCCTCACGACCACGTAGGGCAGTAGTAATGAAGCTGCACATGCCCTTTTGACGTATCGGTGAGGACGTCGGGGAGTTGCGTTAGATTATTCCCGGGTATTACGGTCACGGTTGAACCATGGTCCATGGATGCAACCTAGAGGGTAGCTTTTTGGGAACTAACAGTACAGAATCTTCGCCTTCGGTAAAGCCCATTGCAAGGCCAACTCTATGGAGCCACGGAAGCATGGACCCCGGATAGACCGCAGTTTTTCTGACGGCGAAGTTACATAGATCAAACTTCATAATCCAAGATTATGTATCGTTGATGATAGCTCGAGGACTCATGGCCGTTTTATGTGTATGATTCTCAATGAAGACTCTTCGAGTAATGGTATCGATTATCTCTTATCTAACTAGAATGATATTACTAATTCATTGAATTAATCAATTAGTGACTGATCAATTGATTGAATTGGCAATGGGTTGTGCGTTAGGCTTGATCCTGTACAGACAAATTCTGATTCTGTAGCCACACAAAGAGAGCCGAGGCAAAACGGCGAAGAGTAGAGTATCCCCTTGGGTGGTGAGCATGGACGAAGTCCTGACCGTGGACACCGCTGAAGCTGTACTCTCAAGGGTTGCGGATATTCTCCGCATACTGTGCTCGACAGTATGTCGGAGGCCTCAAAGCCCTGGCCTTCGAGTTCATCCATCGACAAGGCTCTTAGCATAAGGGACGCCTACCTTTTGGAGGACTACCAATAGTAATCGCTGGTGAATCACCAGTGGTGATCCGTGCCAGCCATGTCTCTTTCAGTGGAGCATAGTGAACCTTATCAAACGGTCACACCGTGCTGCACAGTTGTGACCGTGCTACCCGGGCCGGGTAGCACCGCCGTCCACGGAAGGCTGTCACGGCTTGACTATGGTGCCCGAAGGTCAACAACTCATCTGCGCACGAGGATCCGGACTGTCGCCTTCTCGGATTTCTGCCAACAACCGCAAGAAAAGCCGTTACTCAATTTGTGGTCAATCTTGGGTGTAATATGAATAGCCGTGTCAATCTTGCTTTTGATAGTGTCATTCTTGGATGTGATATTTTCGCATTGTGGTTAATTTGAATTTGAAGTGCGTATCGCCGTCCTTGAAAGTCGATTTTGAGGACGTGCCTAACTCTGTTGTCAGTCTTGAGATGAACTGCGTTATTCTTGTTTATTCAACGTGGAAGTGATGTAGAATCTACATTGTTTCAGAGATGTGGACCACATTAACTGCGCCAGTCTGTCTTTGAGTCGGGTGGCCATGGTCTCCTTCCCCCAATTGTGGGTAGTGACAATGACAACGCGGGTTTGGTCGTTAATCTTATCGTGGCGATTGCTACTACTACGGTTGACATTAACCCATCGTCGACACTAAAATGCAGTCGAAAGACGAACAGCCTGATGTATAAATCTCGATCGGTCTCTTTTTAACTAACTGTAACAAACTCTGGTCCATATCAAGTTTTCGGTGAAGCGGTCTAATACTATTATCAGTGTGGCTCGGGAGGCGTTACGTTACTGTAAAGTGGTATAGACACAAACTATCTCAACTCTCAAGATAGGCTAGCTCACAATCTGGATGGTGTCAATCCCCCAGCCTTCTCGAGCTTCTTCCTCAGCTCCTCGCTGGCAGAATCAGTATCCTTCTCGACGAAGACATCTCGGTAGTTGTCAGCCCGACCAAACCGGAACATGCCGTGTGGGGGCGGGGTTAGATTCACCAAAAGCCTAGGAGTGGTCCTTGGCAGTAGAATAGGTATTTGGTTGCATGGTCCGACCTGTAGACTGGTGCCCATCACGACTAACAGCGTTGCTTGGGATAAATCCTCTTGGACACAATCGAAAAATCGCTCGGGCAGGTTCTCGCCGAAGAATACCACATCCGGCTTGACCAGACCGTAACAGGCAGCGCAGTGGACCGGCTTCTCAGAGCTCAACAAGTCGCGCATGTCACCGCCATAAGGACATCCACAATCGATACATCGTGCTGAACGAAGATGCCCATGGGCCTGAATGAACTAGGATCGACCGATTGAAATTCAGCGGGATTCTCTCACCTGGACGACAAGCTCCTCAGGCACGCCCGCATCAATTTCTAAGCTATCGATGTTTTGAGTATAACATCGTAGTAGGGCTCCCTTCTCGGCAAGCCACGCTATGAACCTATGGGCAGCAGTAGGCTCGTGGGCTCCTCTACCCAATTGGGCTTCGTGACACAGTCTATAGAAGGGGTAGGGATCATGTCGGAAGTAGTGGATAGAGAAGAGGTCCTCCGGGGCCCGCAGGCTGTTCGTGTACTGCTTCACGTTGGCGTATATGCCCGTGTTGGGGGAGCGGAAATCTGGTATTCCCGCACTCACGGAAATACCAGCTCCGGCCAGGACCACAACACGTTTCCAGTATCTGCTAGGGTCCGCACAAAGGGCCTCCAGACTGACCTCGTTATCTGAGATGAA